ATGATTAGCCATGTGTCACATTGTCACGTGACGTCATGATGTCAAGACATGCTGTCAAGTAATGTCACATCACGTGACCCCGTGACTTCACGTGACTCACCGCGTTAAGTCGATTCGAATTGAGGACGTCGCTAGATCTATTAACGTTGTTGATACCGTGACATCACATGACATCACAACTTCGCACTGAGAGTCACGTGACACCATGATGTACCCGATTGTCATGATCCCGAGTCAAATGCTCTGGTTCATGACAACCAGTATCGCCAAACATTCGGGTAACGGCTCGTGTTCAACTCAAAGATTATGATGGGCCCGAGTCCCACTAGAGCTAGAAACAGAAACAAACAAAAGCGACAAGCCTCAGACACCTGCAGCATGTTCGCGATGGTACCTTTATACGGCTTTGAGTTGTTCGGTGCTCGCGAAGCTAGCACGAGTGTTTACAAGCCTGCAAATGGTACCATCGTGTGCATGATACTCGTGTTTGAGCATAGCCTTCTTTATTCTACAAAGCCTGTCAAATCGCGAAATACTCTGGTTTAAGGCTAGCCGCTGTCGTTTGTTTCTGTTTGTCGCTTTAGTGGGGCTCGGGCATTATAGCCCAACTAAAATTATATCTGAAGATCAGCCCATGCTCTCTGCTTTGCCAACCCTGCGTATGACTATGATAAACACTGACGGTGTATATATTAGGATCAGATCACGTGGCTGATAGTTCTAATTGTGAGTTGAGGAGGGGAAAGCTGTTTCATTTCTTTCTTTCGACTGTCTGCCATTTCGCGGAGGGGCAAACTAATGGATGCTTTTGCAAGTTATCAACGTCAGGGATTACAACTTAGCGGTATTTATTGAACTCAAGGTAAAAAAAGAAAAAAACGCTGCACGACCCATTTTACAAGTATGCACACCATTTAGGCTAAACATGTTTTCGTTATTGCTGAACTGCCTCAGAAAGTTGTCCCGAGAATAGAAGTGTTAAAGGGTCTAAATATGACGTATTAGTCCGACGTTACATGGAACTATTAGTGTGTACGGGAGGGATACCTGAAAAGAAAGTTCCTAGTGGCCTCACGGGGATAGCCGAACGTTGGCAGCCGCTCTAAGTCTCACAGGAGTGTCGTTCTCAAGTTCTCCAAGTTTCGACGGCCCTGTATTTTGTTTAACCTTCACAGTTTGGTGCAAAGTTAAAGCAAAGAAGAATTACTGTTAACAAGTGAGACAAATATAATTGTCGAGTGAACACCACTCAATACGGAGCAGGCAATCCCTGAGGAATAAAAAGTATCTTGAGGAGCAACTAAAAAAAAAAAAAAAAGGAGTGGGGAGGGGGCTAGTTTTAAAGCATACTGTGTCGTAAAGATTCCTCTGCCCCACATTTTCGGCGCAGACTAGAAAGCGTGGCCTGGAAACGATAGTGCCAGATGGGTAGTTGGTACAACTTTTATTTGTAAAAACACTCTTGCCAGAAAGCACGTTTTCGTCGTGCCAGATACTCGCGCCGTGCCTAACGACGATGTACCAACAAGAAAAATCTGTGCCTCTCAAATACATAGCTTGCACTGAGCGCGAAACTTTTGCAGCCTGCATTTTTCCAAACCGGATTTGATTTTCTCAGCAAGAACAACTCGCAACGACAACCAGTATCTAGTGCGATTACGTCACGTGCAAACCATGTTAAATACTTCAGCTTTCTGGTGAAGTGCGACGTTCGCAACACCAGCAGTAGACGTCCAATGTGTAAAGTTGTGTAGTATTTATAGCAGTCTCGCGATGATATACGGCAGCCTAATGAAATGTTGGAGCACATGACTGATAAAGAACAGAGTCGTGAAGGAAGGTCTCAAAACAAGTGCACGTAAAACCTAAGATAACATTAGCCTCCCGAGGTAGTATCTCGCGACGTTCCGAGCTTAGGCAAGCTGATGTCCAAAAGTGATTTATATTAGGATTCTAAAAAATCTTCGTTTGCCCTACGCGGATTCTATGTTTAATTAGGAATATCATTTTATGCATTTCTATGCATTTCTTTTTGCAGTAAAGCGTTGTGTAAGAGATTATTTAGAAAAAAATGCGTGTCATCTCCTTATTTCTGCACATTTCGTGTATTTGCCTTCCGATATATCATGTGACCACAGTGTTTTTTTGGCATACCCTGCAACCCACTATTTCACACTGCAAAACAGCTAACAAAAGCACGTTGCCGAAGACACAACAGCTGGCGTATTTTCGAGTATCGTCCTTCCGTGTCGGTCTCAGGCGGTTATGTGAACTTCATAAAGTCAAATTTATCGATGATAATAAAAATATACCTAATTCCTGTCTGAAGATTTGGCAGCATAAATAGAAGATCCTCACCTCAAAGATATATAAGTAAATGCGCCTTTAAATTATCTGAAAGATGTTCTGCAAATATTTCTCGGCGCTTTTATCCTCTATAGACGTGATAGGTGATTTTGAAAAGCTTTAAATAATTTTTTTTTATTTTGAAGCTAATTTAAATAACTATATGTGTTCCTCATGCATATATAACTTCTCAAATATATAGAAGTTTATTATCGCGTTTTTTATGTGTTTTTATTATCACCTTTTTTTACTGGAACGAATGGTGGAACTATGACGATTGCATACTTAAACTCTCAGAAAGTGTCCAATTAAGTAGCTTCCGAATTGAGTAGAGCATGAAATACCACTTTGTTCTATTTAACAAAAATCATCAATTAGCGAGGGTGATGCTTATTTGCAAATTAAATTGACCTGCATTTTGTCAAGAGCAAACCTCAACATCCAGGCTATGCCAGTTTATCCAATATAAGAAAATGTTCACATGGGTAAGCACTGTTTTAGGTCAGATTCGATCTCAGTACTAAGGTGCTCATAGATTAGGGTGAACAATTTCAGTCACTCCTTTTCGCATGATTCGTCGCCCGCATCATGGTGCTGAGAGCAAACAATGCTAGTTAGAAAAACAAGCATTGCGATTGTCGCTTAGTGTTTCTATAAAATATAGACTGGAAGGACTTGTCCCGTGACTTTCGTGACAATTTGAAAATTATATTCCCTTAAGCTCAGTCGTCTCGTCATCATATATATATTGTGAAACGTATTCCGTAAAACACATTTTATGGTATATATGGCGACGAGGTGCCCATTTCATGAATGTATTCACTGTAATTAATTCCTTAGTTCAAGGGCAAAACCACGATTCAACATGTAATACTGCGGTACAAAGTTGTACCAATCACGGGTATTTAGGCAACCTACTTCACTTCGCGAAAAACATTTCGATTCAGGTACAATGTATGTGACTCTGGTAAACGAAGGGATGTTGAATCGTATAAACACGACGTTTTGTATGTTAATGTAGATTTTCCTTTCTTGTTGTGTAGGAATAAATAACAGAATTTTATAATTTTGGTACCTGAAAATAAAACTGAATTGAACAAACGATAAAAAAAAACTATATACTGTAAACGACTTATTTTTCGTGGGCTCAATATTTCGTGATTTAGGTCAAAGATGAAGTTTTGGAATAATTCGCGGGTTGTAATTTTCTCGACGCGGTGGAATCTCAATATAAATTTCAATCTGTTTACATTTTACCGAAATTGTTCGCGGGACCCATTTTTCGCGAATTGTAGGCGATTCGCGAAATTCTCAAAAATAGGTCCTCGCAAAAATCAGATCGTTTACAGCAGTTAGTTTCACGGCCTAAATAGCGCCTATTGACAGAACAACGCGGAAAATATATTCTCAATTTAGCGGTTCAAACCGGTTCAAACCGGTTCGAACCGGTTTGAACCGTTATTTTTTGCGCCCCGGAACTGAACCTGAACTGAACCGAAAGCCGTGAACCCGAACCCGAACCGAACCAATAAAAATATCGGTTCGACACTCTGGTGTCACGTGACTTTAGAGAGGGGGCACAGCGACGCGCGGAAAGCGTATCACATGCCACGTCCACAGAACGGGATTGGCTAAGATAGCTCGTAGCATCCGCTGCGTCCGGACGTAAGGTGAAAGGCTAGTGACGTCAATCCCCAAGTCGCAAGCTGCCGTCACCGCGGCAGCAGGTGCCGTTATCATCCATTATGCGGTTCGCACTTCACACGAGGGCTTCAAATGACGTCAATCCCTTCCGAAGCAGCTGGAAACCTAATCTTTACAGGAACGCGTGGGAGGGTGTTCATAGCGAGCGGGCACGCCGACCGTGTCGCGACCGGCGCCTATTGTTCGTCGTGCCCTGGCGGAAGACGGCGCTATTTCCTCGGGAGGCAATGGCGACGAACAGCAGCGCGGAAGGTGTCCCCGTCGTGATTACGACGGGATTTCAAGCGGTCACGAATCCTGAAAGTTTCTTTCGTGGTGCTAATTTAACGAAGGGGAAGCTCCTCCACGAATCTGGCCACGTTTATGACGTGAAGGAGGTCCGTTTCGACGGACGAGCGGATGTCACGGCGCGCTGTGTGCCGCAGACAAGACTGAGCGCACCCGTAAAGCACGTCGAGCTTCACGTAAGTACATAAGAGTCAGTTTTCTTAATTTGCGTTGAGGGATTGCTCTAACGAGGTACATTTATTCCGTTCTGAATTAGCTTGACAACAACCGGGCGATTGTTTCCGCACAATGCGACTGTCGTGCTGGCGTCGCAGGGAGGTGTAAACACACCGCGGCAGTCGTCGTGTACTTGAAGGAAGATGTAGCAGCATCAAAAACGAGCTGCGCAAGGAGCTGGGGCATACCGTCATCGAAAAAAACGTACCCTAAGTTCTCCCGAGTGGCTCCCAACTCGCAGAAAGGTGCGTGCTTATGCATGTGTACAAATTACTCTTTTGAATGTTTTAATTAGCACTTAGCTCTTTTGCCACGCGATAGTCGAGAACAAATAAGCGTTGCAACTTTGCTTCTCCACCATGTGTGCAGGAACATCAGTGTCTGTCTGTGCTGTGGATGTGAGTCACGTTAAACAGTTCTTCGGCGATTTGAGTTGCCCCCTCAACGACATGTTGCGAGCGGAAGAGCTGGTCTGCGACCAGGATGAGGAATCTGTGGAGCAGCCACCCTCTCCAGAGGCCCTGGTGCTCTTTGATTGGCCATTGGAGGGATTCCACTACAGGAACTTCTTCATCGAGTTTGAATCTGGAGGGCCCATTCAAAAGGAAGAGACATTTGTGGAAAGGTAAGGTGGCGTGCATTGTGTTAGTATCGATCTCCTAATTTGTATAAAATGTATCTTGCAGCCTGCGAAGTCGTGAGAGGGCTGTCTACGATAGGAGCATATGCAAGTCGTCTGAAGAGATTCAAAGTATCTGCAGGAACACACACTTGTCGAGGGACACCTGGCGGAAGGAGAGACTGCCTCGCATTACAGCAACAAAGGTGTGCACCATTTAAATAAGGACAATGTCAATATCTTTTTGTACAAATGTAGTACTAGATATTCATTATTTTCGGATGGAACAACTCCTTGGTTTGTACTGATATATCTGCCAATGGCGGTCAAAGAGGCAAACATCCTGGGTCTAGGAGACGCGGCTTCAGCTTCAGAATCGAAATGTTCTCGTACGGATGTTTACAATTTTATTTCTTTCCACTCGGTAGGCACATAAAGTAATACGCTGCCAAGGAGACTTGCAGAAGCTTGCCAAGGAGATGGTGCTTGAAGTGCCCTTTTCGTCCCAAGCAACAGCGCATGGGGTGCGTTACGAGCCAGAAGCTCGAGCCAAGTTTGAGGAAGAGCGCTGCGTCAAGGTCCACCAGTTCGGGCTTGTTGTGATGCCCGAAGATCCCTGGCTGGGGTGTTCTCCTGATGGACTCTTCCGGTACGTATTAAGCTGGAACCTCTTGGATAGCGTCAGAATAGCAGCAAGTGGTTCGCTGTGCCTTATCTTCTGGTTAGCTTAGGGAAAGGCAAAAGTTACGACCCTTGTGAGCCAGTAAGGGCGGTCCACTCAGCAGCTCGTCACAAGAGGCACACCCCGAGAGTGCATTGCCACATGTCTCATTGTAATGCTCCGATAGGCATATTGCTCCAGCTGCAGCTCCCGCTGCTTGCTTGGGAAGCCAAGTCTCTTTGTTGAATGTCGGCTGCCATTTTGAGGCTTCCAGGCGGTTACACTAAAAGTTTCTCCTAGTAGTTTCTGGTAGCTTTGCACTTCGCATAATTAGATGCTTACTGTTCCACCGCAAATAGTACACATGCATGTAATATCCTTAACTGTACATAGCTTTCGGTATTGGCTCGTACATATTTAAATACAATGTATGAGCTTCAAAAACAGAAAAATGCTCGTGAATCACCAGGAGGTGCTTTCCGCAATTCCGCTTCCAGAATGTTTTATTAGCAATCCGTTTTCAAACAGCAGTCCTAGCACGCATAAGCCAGCTCACCACATTTCGTATCTTCAGGAACGATGAGGGCAAGGTCAACTTGCTTGAAATCAAGTGCCCTGCCAGCCGGTGGAAGAAACCATTGACGGAGAAGCCACTACTTGCATATTTAGTGGAAGACAAGCATACCAAGATCATCAGCTTAAGGCAGTCACATCCCATCTACACTCAGATCCAAATCTGCCTGTATGTCCTCCAACTAGAACAGTGCGAGCTGTTCATCTACTGCTCCATAGACCGGAAGACGTTCCGAATTAAGCGGGACGAGGCATTCCTCTCTTATGCAATCCCATCGCTTAGATCATTTTATTTCACCTTTTTCATACAGGAACTTGCTGCACTTTGTTGAAAAAAAGCAACCTCCACAAATAACGCTAAAATGTGTGTAGCAAAAAAACTGGGATGGATTCAAACGAGTTTGGGCGAGTTGGTTCAGGATCTAAAAGGTTAAGAAGCGTAGACAAAACGAGGACGGGAAAGGAACGAGGACGGGTGCTAACTCACAACTGATTTTATTAGAAATTCATCCTAGCTTATATCCACAAATTCCGTTGCCCGACTTGCATCGCAACAATTCGCCACTCCTACATGCAGCCATCCAAAAAAGAAACCATTCTGATGTAGAAAAAAAGAAGGCGCGCTAACGCACTGGCCATAGGGCCTCGATAACCTCTCTTGTGCGTTAGTATGCCTTCTCTTTTTCTACATCAGAATGAGGTTTCTGTTTTGCATGGCTGCATGTAGGAGTGGCAAATTGTTGCGATGCAAGTCAAGCAAGGGAATTTGTGGATATAAGCTACGATGAATTTCTAATAAAATCAGTTGTGAGTTAGCACCTGTCCAGTCATATTCGTGGCTTCCTCGTCCTCGTTTTGTTTGCGCTTCTTAACCTTTTAAAAAACTGAGAATTGCAATACACTGTACAGAAGCCTAAATAAAAAATCAAAACACTATTTTGTTTCTGAATCATTATTGCACGAAGGCATTACTAAGGATTGCAAAGTGATCTGTAAACTGAAAATAATCTTGTATCCTACTGTTCTCCAGAGGCCGGGAGAGAATGCATCATGAAGGAAACACCACAAACTTACGGTTAATTTCTTTTGAGAACAAACTAAAACGCAGCTTTTTTTTTCTGTTTTATTCGTTGACAGATCACTGAGGCTTAAACTTTTGCTCTTTGCCGAGTCATGCAGCTTAGGCGGAAGACTACTGCTCCTTCTGTGACTTAAATATCCCTGGCCTTAGGTTTGTTAGGACACATAAAATGTGCATAACATTGTCCAAGTGTGGGATCAGGTGGTGCGAAATACGTCTGGTGATGGTGTAGATTTTCACCCTTTGAATAACTCTTTCTACGTGTATCCTGACGGAGGCAGTAGCGTACGTAGAGTCCACCTCTACCTCGGTAAACTGTGCACCCGATGCAAACGGTGGCATCACCAACGTGGCTCTTTGGGCGCCGACACCAGTCACTATCCCTGGGAAGCCTTTGTCAGCGAGGACAACATCGTTTGGCTGCAGCTTGAGCAAAAATCCAGATTCTACTGTGATGGCAGTATCGCTTGTGCGTCCTCCAAACCCATCAGAAAGAAACGTCACCAGCCCGCTGGGTGCAATTCCGATTAAATACTTCACAGTGAAGCATCCCTTGTACTGTGAGTACCACAGGTTTTGCTGCTCGACGGTGGGGGGCATTTCAACTGTCATCTCTGTGCAGTCTATAATAACCCTGCAAAGAGGGTAGTTAACCTTAAAACTCGGTGGCATGGTAGCCTGAATGGCGGCCCTACTCGGCCACCAAATCCAGCTCTTTGTCCTGGCACAGAGGGTTTCTAGTGTTCGCGTAAACATTCGTGCGGCAGTCCTGCGGTCCACAGTGAACAGAACCCCCAAACATGAAAATGGCACATTGTGTTTGAGCTTAATTAAAAACAGCAAAAGCCAATTCTCGGCCGAGAGCTCATTCTGCCTCCTTGGGACATCTGGAAGCAAGCTTAAAAGGAGAGCAAATAACGAGAAAGATGTGGCACTAAGGCTTTCCAGCCTCGCCTCATCATGCCGAACCGAGTTGTAGCCCATGAAACAAGGCTCTTTGTAGGCTGGTCCCACTCCCTTGTCCACGACTGCTGGTTTGTCCGGCCCGCTTCCTTGGTCCAGTACCGCCTTGTGGCTGACAAAGGTTGCAGCCTCATTTCCCACGATGCAACAAAAGAACTGGTTGCACAGTGAGAAATCTGTCCCTTCGTCATTGGTCATGGTGCAAGCCTGCAAAAATATTTAAAAAAAAATATTTTAGATTGAATCAAACAGTTCATTTCTATGCAATATTTGTCGGCTTCCCAGTTGCATGTAAAAATTCTAGATTAGTTGATCTTTATATACAATTGCATTAGAAAGAAAAATAATAGTTTAGAGGGCTGAGTTCCAAGTTTTCATGAGCATCTGGCATGCCGCATCACAACATTATGAAATAATTCAGCACTGTACAAGATTTGTGGTACAAAGAAATACCTCGGTTGAGCAGTCACAAAAAATGTAATTACCCTCTTTTAGACAACAGACACCGTGGCCATATTAAAAAATTTTGTGATTGCGATGGCATCGGGTTGCACTTGCAGAGTTCGCTTCGGACTGGTTCTCCTTGTTGCCTTCGGTAAGTGCAATGCATACTGGGAGAAAGCTAACACAGAGCCAGTGTGTGTTAAAGGAGCTCGCTATCAAAGAAGAAAGCATCCTGGGTTTGAAATCTTTGGTTTTTGGAATGTCATGGCTCCCAGCAATAAATACTTAAACCAGTCACATAACAATGACCGATATCCAAAGCACCGCCATTTTAACGTGGTGTTGCTAGTGGTGCCATAATCATTAGTTAGATTAAAAAGCAGTCGAAGAATTGGCACTTCAAAGTCCTGCTTACGTCGACTGTTAAAGGACAAAGTTGGGGTAGCTCCGTTGGCTGCTCCATGGTCGCGCCACTCTCGGGTCCACTTGTCGCTGATGCTGCAACACTGTGCGCGTCCCTCTTCAGTTTCCTGAAAAGACGCATTTATCCGTCAGTAGTAGTGTGTACTGTGTTTGTAGATATACTTGTGCATTAAAGGGGCTATGCTACAAATTTCTAACTGTTCTTAAATACTGCGCAGAATGAATCCTTCACGCTAATAACCTACGAAACAGACATTAGTTTTACTCTCCAAGCAATGGTAGTCGCAGAAATAAATAGAGAAAAAAGGGGCAGCATTCACCCTCTCAACTCGCAGAAAGAATCGGCCATGTGACCTGGCGACGATTATATGCCGCCATGTTCACCATAGCCACGCACTGGGCTTAGCAAAGCATAGGGTGCTTGCGGGTTCCCGCACATTGTTAGAGCTCGCCTACTCTCGTCACCCCGGCGATTAGGCTCCGAGCCACTACCCGAATGTTTGGCGAGGTGTTGATTGTCACGAGCCAAAGTCGAGTGATGACGCAGTGCTTGGATCCAGTCGATGTGCCTTAATCAAATAGCGTCAGATGAGGATCCTGTAGTGAGGTGAGAGGTAGCACGCAGGATTATTTTTCCATTTCATTTCATTTATTGTCCTCAAAAGCATCTGGCGATGCATTACATGAGGGGGGATAGCAAAAAATGGGGAAAAGTCGCGATATACACATTACATTAGTAAAGAATGATCTTGGACTGGTTCTCACATTTTTATTTTTATTTATTTATCGATACTACTAATCCTCATAGGAGGATTTTTGTAGGGTGGTACAAAAAACACAGATGCATAACCATAGTGCAGAAAAAACAGTTATACAGAGGATAAAAAGTATATGAAACAAACGGAGTGGATGAGACATAGTATGTTCACATCATGAGCGCTTCGACATCATCCATGAACTGTTTCAGCGAGCTAGCGTGAACAACGTGTCGGGGCAAACTGTTCCATTCCTGGACTGCTAGCGGAAAAAATGAAAATTTAAAGCAATTATTTTTAGGTTGGAACTCCCTGAATAATTTCCCATGGTTTGAACGGGTTTCTCTTCCATCGTGGGGAATAAGGTATTTAGACTTTTCTATTTTAGTCAAGTTATTGGCTATTTGGTAAATTAATTTTAATCTCGTGAGCTTAGCTCTTATTTCTAAGGGCTGCACGCCGAGCTCTCTACACAGCTCAGATGGTGAATCTCGCGTGCCAAACTTATTAGTAATAAACCTTACAGCGAGCCTTTGCACTTTGTCTAATTTTTGTATGTTAGTTTTTGTGAAGGGGAACCAAACAGGGCTGGCATATTCAAGCACAGGCCGAATAAGTGTCGTGTAGGCCAACAGTTTGGTATCGCGGGAAGCGTATTTTAATCGCCTTCTTATGCACCATAATTTCGTTAGCGCTTTTTTGGTCACTCCGTCTATGTGCATGCCCCAGTCAAGATCACTTGTGAACAGGACACCTAAGTACTTGAATTCATGAACGTTTTGTATATTGTTTCCATTGATCTTATAAGAATGATTAAATATGTTTTTTTTCCTACTTATGGACATGGCTACTGTTTTGTCTGTATTAATAAGCATCTGCCATTCTTTACACCAGTCTGAGATATTGTCTAGCGCGCTTTGTATTTTTAAGTGGTCCGAAGAATTTGTTATTTCAGAATATATTATGCAATCGTCAGCAAAGAGTCTAACGTTAATGTCGATGTTATCAGTTATATCATTAATATAGAGCAGGAAGAGGAGGGGGGAGAGTACTGAACCTTGAGGTACTCCTGAACACACGGCCTTATTAGCTGAGCTATTTCCGTTAATTTTCACGAATTGAGATCGTCCAGAGAGGTAGTCTATAATCCAATTTACAACTTGTCCGTCGCCTAGGATTTTCGTTAACTTGAAAATTAGTTTGTTGTGGGAGACTCTGTCAAACGCTTTTGACAGGTCTAGAAAAATGACATCCACTTGGCTTCTTCGATTTATAACCGAGGAAAAGTCGTGCACGCTTTCAATTAACTGGGTTATGGTTGACAATCCGGATCGAAAACCGTGCTGGCATACACCTAAAACGTTGTTTTCTTCGACGAAAGCAGTGATATGCTTTAGAATAACATGTTCCAATAATTTGCAACATGTTGATGTAAGTGAAATGGGCCTATAATTTGAAATGCTCTCTCTACTGCCCGATTTATGGATTGGGATAACTTTAGCTTGCTTCCAGTCGGGTGGAATTTTTGATTCTTGCAGCGATTTCCTATATATTAGTGATAAGTATTTTGACACCCATTCTGCGTACCTTATCAGAAATGCGTTTGTAATATTATCTGGCCCGGCACTTTTTTTAGGGTCAAGATTAAGAAGAAGACAGAGTATGCCGGCCTCAGATATTGTTATGTTGCCCACCGTATCTTGTAATTGCATATTCATGTAGGGTGGCATAACGCCGTTGTCGCGTGTAAAAACTGAAAGGAAATAATCATTGAAGTTGTTTGCCTTGTCCGGGCTATTGGCGATTTCTGTATCGTTTTTTCCTTTTGCGCGCGGATTTATATACCTCCAAAATTTATCTGGGGCTGTTCTGATGAAGGAATAAAGAGTTTCGTTGTAAAACTTCTTTTTAGCGCACTTTATTTTGCTCCCGAGTTCTTTAGTTAAGTTCGTGATTTGTTCTTTCTTCGATGCATTTTTCGTAATCTTTGTTTGTTTTTGGAGCCTGTTAATTTTTCGCTTAGTATGAATAATTTCACGCGTTATCCAAGGATTTCGCTTAGCGGTTCTTTTGATTTTAGTTGGAATATAGGTATTCATACAATGGGAAATTATTGATTTGAAGGAATTCCAAAGGTCATTTGTGGAACTATCTGATCGTAGGGAAAGTTCATAAAAAGGGTCAAAGTGAAAATCGAAACAATCCAGGATGGCTACATCATTAGCACGATTTAAGTCTAAAACTTGAATAACTTTGCTTGAATTTTTTGGCACCGTATCTAGTCTAAGCGAGGCTACCACAATGTCATGGTCAGATATTCCGTCAACGATGTTCACGTCTAGTTCTTTTAGAAAGTAGCCGCTCACGAATATCAGGTCCAGGACACTCTGCGAGGAAGCCTGTGTACGCGTAAAGTCTGACACAATCTGGGTCAACTCATAACTAAAGCAAATATCGCACATAGGATTTGTTCCGTCAAGGCATGCTAAGGGGTCTTGAGGAAGAACACAGCAAATGCCATACACACAGCGTATGACAACGTAGTTTCCCTAGACTGTGTGTCCCATTCTACGTCACCGAGCTTTGCGAACAAGAGAACAAAGAAAATGGGTGACTTTTATCTTCCCACTTGCACCGCGTCAAAGAAGCTTCTGTATTAGTGGCGTTGCGTTCGAGTATACTTGGATCACAGTAACGCCAGTCCGCGTATGTAAAGAGAAAAACATTCCAACAAAATTTAGTTGCACAGCCTAGCCTTCTTAAGAGACTCCAAACATCGTACAGACTCGTTAGCAAAAGAAAGAAAGGTAAGCTGCGGGAACGAAGAGTCACCTGTCGTGTCGTTCTGCGATTCCCAGCACCTCTCTCTTCATGTAGGCTGGCGGAAAGATCGACGGGTTATAGGCTGGATGGGCGACCTCGTTCCGCTTCTCGTTCCCGATGAAGTGCTTGCTGCATATTTTGGAGTTAGCTGTGGGTTCCCACGTTGTTCCATCGGCGCTACAAAGAGTCAATTTATTATTCGTCAGCAGCTTAGTGCAACACGGGATGTGCAGGTAGAAAAACGCCACTTACTTGCATCGACGCACAAGTCGAATCCAGGCCGCGCGGCGCTCCACCTCGTACGGTTTCGAAGGGAAGCTATAGAACCTAGTGTCGGGCGCGTTCTCGTAGGTATTGCTGCAGCCAACCACACAACAATTGTTATGGCTTTTTTTCTTTGGAATAGGCATCTCAGAAGGTGCAGTGACTACCGCTACAACACCACAGCGATTGCAGAAGCCTCCGTAGCTGCCGTGGCAGTGTCCGCGGCCTCCCGGTGTGGCCGACACGTTTGCCGCTAGGGGCGCCCTAGTCGGCGCTTGAATTACGTCTGTCCGGTCCCTATATTGTTCACACGCGCTTTATCATCTATCATGTAGTTTTGATGGTTGTTTTGTTGATGCTTGTTTTTGGTTTTCTTTGTTGAAACGGACACTGAGCTGTATGCTGAATGCCTGATTTCGAAGGAGATAAGCTGTTTTGCCTTCAATTGTTCGCCGGGAGATTTTTTTGCTTACAACAACCACACGAAACTTTCCTTGGCTGGTAGAGGTATACAGCTTCGCTGTGAAAACTAAAAGGGTCAAATTGGACGTTGAGTGTTTCTACAGCGTAAGGTCGGTCTGCCTGGATGGGGCGACACTGGTTAACACAATAGATGAGCAATTGCGCCAGTGCAGTCCCAGACAACGCACCATATCCCAGGGATGTCCCAAAAACCTCCCGACTTCGCAAAATCCAACTTTGCTATCCCTAGAACCTCCGTGGGACATGATGTCCCTCGGGAATTAGACACCGGATGAACTGGGGATGTTAGGGGGATTCAACTGCTATTTATTTGTACCCTTTTCCTCATAGATGACTCAGAATTTTTCCGGAACAAACGAGTTGCGTGCTCGCAGCTGCGCATGCAGGTCGGGCGCTCGAGGTGGGCTCGGCCCACGGGCTCTTCACCGCCGCTGCCGGAAGCGGCCAACAGGCGGCGCGAGATACGAGCCAGCACATACGTAGATTATAGTGACTTACAAAACGTAGAATGAGCTCTAATTTCCGAATGAATTTGAAGTTCCAACCACGTTCGAAATTATCAAAAGCACAGGGTGTGGCGTTGCGGCCGTTTGGACCACCACATTTAACACTATTAAAAACAAATACCTCCGACTTGCATATCAATACCAACAATTTATAGGACGTTTCGTCTCCTATGCGGGAGACATCATCAGTGCGGCCTATGAACGACGCTACGACGGACGTAAACGAAGTTGAAACGAGAGCCGACGATGATGATGTCTCCCGTATGCCATGGAGGAAGAAGTCGGCAGAACGGATGAAGAGTAGGAAGAAGCAAGCGTTGGATTGCTGGTAGCTAGTCGGGTGTTCCCAGGCCGCACTGATGATGTCTCCCGCATAGGAGACGAAACGTCTTATAAATTGTTATGCAAGTCGGAGGTATTTGTTTTTAATCATGAATCCCGGCTTTTGGAACATTTTTGCACATTTAACAGGAAAACGTTGTTTAAAGAAAAGAGTTTATTTTTAGAGTTTAATTAAAGCTAGAAAACAAAAACAATTTTCGCTCCCAGGGTGTGTGCAGTAAAGTTTTAGTTTAGAACGTGATTTATTAGCCAAAAAAAATAATCAGGGAGTGGGATTGGGGAGGGCACCGGTGACTGAATTCGAGGTCTGGGTGCTGGCATATTAATAAAAATCAGGTTAGATGGAAGAGTCTACTTTGGCCTCATGGAGGAAGTCCAGCAGGCTTCGTAGAATCTTTCGTTGTCGGTCTTCATTTCCAGGAGGGTGAGTCCAGCCTTCAAATGAATCAACGTCTTGGGGTCTATATATCGCTCTTATGTTTTCATATTTGGGACAGTCCCAGATCAAGTGTCGGATGTCTGCTTTGACTCGCATGTCGCAGTGGGAGCATAAAGCTGATCTTCTACCCTTGCTCCACAAGGCGAGGCGGGCCGGGGATAGGGTGGCGTCTGTTCTTACTTGTGTGAGCAGCACTTGCCCTCTGCGACCGAACCCCTTAGAAGGGAGTCCGGGAAGATCCGGTTCGGATAGGCGCTCCTCTAGTCTCGCTTTGTTGTCTTCTTTGATCGTCGCCCTCTCCTCAGCCGGGTCATACTCCTGATTTTCCCAGTCAACGGGTGACAGAGCCCGCTCCTCAGAGCGAGTTGTCCGGTCGTACCGGTGATCGATGCGTGGATGTGGCGGCTCTTCGTCTCGTTGCCCGGGAGGAGCTAGAAGAGACGCGCGGGCGAGATTGTGAGCCGTTTCGTTTCCGGGAATCCCAGCATGGCCTGGAACCTGTTCAATTCTTGTCGTGACTCCTCTCCGCGAACAAAGTTCCGAGACGAGTTTCTTAATTTTCCGCACTTGGATGCTGGGACTGTTGTGGGTGCGGCACTCCTTGATTGCCTCCTGAGAATCTGTAAATATTCGAAGATTCTCAGGAAGGGGGCAAAAGTGCTCACTGATGATCTCAAGTGCGAGCCGAATAGCTGCTAGCTCCCCGCCCTTGGTTGACACCCCAGGTGGAAGGGCTTCGGCTGCTTCCAACTCCAAGTCAGGGGAAACCACGGCGGCAGATTTTCGGGTGATGGGACCTTCTAGCAAGGCCGTGTCCGTGTATGCGGCCACTGTAGATCCACAGTGTTGCCAGCTCTCCACCATCTTGATATGCGCTTTTACGCGTCTTTCTTGCTGTTTGTAGTCCTTCTTGCGGAGCTGTGGTTTGCTGCTAGTGATCCCCGGGAGGTCCTCCCAGGGTGGAATCGGCCCCGATAGTTCGGGAAGATGTGGACGTGTGATCCCGCGAAGGCTCTGGATGGCCCTGCCTTGCGGATTTGTCCAGAGACGAGCTTCATGTGCATCCTTCCTAGCACGCACGACGTCTTGAATTTGATTGAGTTGCACGTACTGCTTCAGCTTCGGGAGAGGGGTGAAGCGGGGCAGGCCCGTAATAACCCTCATTGCCTGGTTGTTCAGGGCTTCAAGCTGTTTCCATTGCCGCACCGTAATCTTGTAATGAATGGCTCCATAGGACACCCGGGACACTACGAGGGTCTTGACCATCCGCTTGGCGACGGCTTGAGTTGCTCCTCCGCGTGCGCTGCAAATCCTGCGGATCACATTGAGCGCAGACCTGCCTTGCTTGAGTGTGTTGAGCAACCAAATGTCACCCTTGCCGTTCGGCTCGATCGTAATACCGAGGATCTTGACCGACGTCGATGGTTGAATGCGTGTCCCGGTAAGTACGAAGTTCAGTTTTGATGCGTAGTCTTCACCTCGGTTGTATAGGCGAGGCGAGGTGACGACTGTATGATTTGTCTTTTCTGGTGCAGCCCGCATCCCCACTCGGGCTAAGTGGGCTTCGATTGTGTCGAGTCCAGCTTGTAGTACCATTTGCTGCACCTTTAGATCTTCCATGTAGGTCCAAATGGACAGATCGTCTGGGTAGACGGTGAATCCAAAAACCGGGATTTTGCTAAGTTCATGAGGTAGATCTGCCATGGCTAGATTGAACAAGGTGGGTGAAAGTACGGATCCCTGCGGGACCCCCACTCGGTTTGGCTTGGGCTCGCTGTCATGCTGGCCAAAGCGGACTGGAAAGGTTCGCCCAGCCAAGAAGTTCTTGATAAAATTGAGAGTCCGCCCCGCAAGGCCTAGCCGATGGGCTTCTCCAATGATTGTGGAGTGGGGCACAGAATCGAACGCCTTTTTCACGTCGATTGCCACGATGGTTCGGAACTTGGATCGGTGCACATTATGGATTACGTCGTTGGAGATGAGTGTCAAGCTCTCTTGAGTGCCAAGGTACTATCGGAACCCTGTTTGCGCCGGGTGGAAGGCTCCCGTCTTTTCGAGGTGCCAGTCGATTCGGGACAGAACCATCCGCTCCATAACTTTGCACGTACAAGACGTTAAAGAGATGGGCCTAAAGTTGCTCAGCGTGCCCTTGTCCTTGCCGGGCTTCGGTATAGGGATGGCTAGAGAGTATTTCCAATGCTCGGGTAGCATGCCTGTAATCCACACATGGTTCACCAGCTCAAGTAATTGAAGTTTGGTGGACTCCGGAAGATTTTTCAGCATGGTCATTGTGACCCGATCCGGTCCCGGTGCAGTGCTGGACTTACCCTTGTGGAGGGCCCACTCAAGCTCCCCCAGCGTAAATGGCCGGTCCAGGCCGTCGTCCGGGGTCAGAATCTCCATGTCGTACGGTGATGGAATGTCGCTCGCGCTGTCTGGCTGGGGAAAAAAGAGGTCCCCTGCCATGTTGGCGAGCTGCTCGTCGGTCTTGTTCATCTTGAGGGCCATCGCCGAAGTGGCTCCCTTCTCCTTCCTCTTCCCCAGAAGTGTTCGGCTGACCGCCCAGAGCCTTTTTACCGATGTCTTCTCTGAGAGAGAGGCGCTAAAATCGAGCCAGCGGCTGGAGTCTAGTTGCTTGGCATAGATCTTGGCTTCCACCGTGGCGCGCGTAATCGCACGCCGAGCATACGGGGTCCTGAGGCCGTTGCGGTACCGTTGTATCGCTTGCAGCCGCTTTGCCCATAGGCCCAGTTGTCGGAGATCCGGTGTCGGCGCGTCCTGCTCGACGCGAGTTTCGGTGGTTGCCTCTTTCAGCGCTGATTGCAGAAATCCCTCGAAAGATGCCGCCGCGGAGGAGTCCCCTTGTTCTAGCTCTTGACGAAACTTGTCCCAGTTGATAGTGCGTGCTATGCGTTTCTTGCCTGTCTTAACATTCCTTGTTGGGGAGAACTCAAAATAAATCGGGCAGTGGTCACTTCCCCAGGAGTCCCGGAGACATTTCCACTTGTGATATTGGCTGTGCGGATTGGAGGTCCAAGTCAGGTCCGGAGTTGTGTCCTTGCTCCGGGCGTCCCCGATCCTCGTCTTGATTCCTGGTTTGTTTACCAGCTGTATGCAATGAGCTTGCATTTCCCCAATGAAACTCTCTGCGCAGTGGGTGTTATGATCATAGCCCCAAAGATGGTGCTGCATATTGAAGTCGCCCCCATAAAGCTTCTGGTCCCTCGGGTAGAGAGCGTGCAAGTGCCCGATCTACCCGTGATCTAATTTTTCCTTGTCACTTCGGTTGGGTCTGTAGTAGGAAGAGGTAAAAACAACGTTCACGCCCTGGTGCACCCTGACGCGGACTGCGACGACTTCTTGCCTCTCGGTGCAGTAATTGCCCAAGTCGATCTGGTGCTGCTCAGCCCAATCCGACCGCACGTACACGAGGGACTTCTACGGAGGGTCGTCTCTCTGGCCGGGCCGAAGGG